GTCACGGCAAACAAAATGGGCGGCTTACACATGGGACAAAGTTAAGAGCTTTCTAACAGCAAGGGAACATAAAGATACTGTTTAAAAACTTCTCTAGAAGCATTTGAAGGTAGAGAGAATCTCTATAAGTCTTAATAATGACCAAGTTGTACTTGCAAGGTGGTGAAATCAATTATAGGAATATTTTTTACACTGTTACGCTTGTTTATGTTGTGTAGAAGTTTGAGGTGGTTCCAGTCAAATTTAATTTTTTTACTAATTTTCAAAGTTGCTTTAAAATCTGGCCAACATCCTTATATACATGTACTATGGTACAGGGTCAAGGGCCAAGTTTTGTCTGACAAAGAGAAAATTCTCCATTTCTATTGCATTTTCTAATGCATAATATGTTTGTTATGTTTTGTATGCAGTTTGAGGTGATTTTGATCAAAATTGGATTTTTTTACAAATTTTAAAAGTTGCTGCAAAATTGGGCCAAAGTCATATAGTACAGGGTCATTGGCCAAATTTCATGAAAAATGAAAAAATTAGAATACTCCATTTTAATAATTTTTCCTGATACGTATACATGTTCTTATGTTTTATAGAAAGTTTGAGCAGGCTGATCAAATTTTGAATTTTTACGAATTTTCAATTGAAGTTTGCTAAGGTTAGACTGAAGCCCCTGTACCAAAGTACATGGTTTTGAGCCAATTTTTGCCAAAATTGAAAAAGGGATGATTCTTTTTATTGCTGTAACATTTTCGAGTACATGTACATGTTCTTATGTTATTATTATTTTCCAGTTATTTCCTGGAGAGGTCCAACAGTGCTAAGATGACATTAAGTAGAGCAAGAGAACTGTTTCCTATTGAAGTAATCGTTAATGAAAATACTGATTGATACTGATACACACTGATTCATACTTGATTCACACTGATTCTATATTGATCCCTAGTTTGATCAGTTATAGTCCAATATAGAATTAATCTGTGTTGTTAACTTGTTATTAGCTTAATTGTATTGTATTGAGAGTAATAAGATACTGTAGACTGGCCCCCAGTATATGGCCAGTGTCATACTGATCCAGCAAAAGGTTAACTGATACCATCTGATGCATGACTGAGTGTTCATGACTGATTGTCTAGGAGCATTAATGATACTTCTCACAAAGCCCACAGTGTCAAGATTGTATTGACATGAATCATTCTCTTATTAATAAGAAGTCTTCGTGAAGTATGTATTTACTCTCTTAATTTGTTTCTTGGTTATTTTCTTGTATTATTTTCTTATTTTTCCCTGCATGTCTCTCTCTACAATATTAGTATGTTTTCATCTACTACTTAAGCTCTCTTATTAGGCTTTTTGTTATTATGTTTGCTTTTTTAGCCCTGATAATGATTTAGACATTGCAGTCCTTCAAAAATGTCTACTCTCTTGTTAATAAAATTAAAATTCAATAATTATAATAAAATAATAACTTAACCTGCCTACAGAAAATTATTAGATCTATTCATGGATTCTATGTCCATTGTCTACCATAGATACTACATGTATGTGTCCACTGACTCCACTCGCATCGATGACTCGCATTGTGTTCATTGTGCCAATCCAACACACACAGTGTTCATCTTGACACATCCTAATAAATACAAAATGAATTATTAAATGCACATGGAACAAGGTCTTACTGCTTCTTGATTATGAAAATAAGAGTAGTTCACTGTACTAAGAGAGCGAGAGAGATAGACGCTAATTTTAATTATACAGCGATGTTGATGCTACACTTACTTGTTCAGATTGGACATTTTTGAGTTTTCTTTTATCATTAATTAGCAAGTAATTGTCTTTCCATTCTCCTGTACAGTAAATGAAACAATGAATTACTGACCAAAAAGACATATCCTACTCTCTGTACATGCACATGTATGTACATAAATGTAATCTTCATTGTGTCTTACTATTACGTTTGTTAGCATGTGTTTCTGTTATTTGCCTGATATTGCAGCAAGTGCATTTGATGGGACCTCGACAGACAATGCAGTGATGCTTCTGTGACCTAAATAATAATAAATAATAATAACAATGCTGATGTATACAGTTGCTTACTTGCACTAACACGAGAAAGAGAGAAAACCATGTGAGAGGTACACCTAAAGAAGGAAAGAGAAAGAGCAAAAGTTAGACATACAGTATACATGTACATCATGTGTACATGTATGAGGAGGAGAGAGAGCGACATCATGAGACGATATACAAAATATATATATATATATATGTATGTATAATACATATATGTGTATTATATATCATACTAAACAAGTCTACATGTATATACAAAAATATAAACCCGACCACATCAAAGGATGCATGATGTCATAATTATGAGATATATATGCATATATATGGAGGGAGGAGTAAACGTAAAAGAAATCAAAACAAATAAATCAAGAAAATAAAATAACCAGAGTAAAAATGAATCAAAATAATTAAATATATCACTACAAAAATTAATAATAATATAGAGAGAGAGGGAAAGAGTAGCCGGAATAATAAAGAAAGGAGAGATTGATTGATTAATATCAAGCATTATTTAAGTGTAGATTGGGCTGGGACATTGATATGACAGTGCAGACAGGAACAAATCACATGATAAGTACAGTAATCACCGGAGTTTCATTTTGATTGTTGAAAAGGACTGTGCCTAGTGTGCCATAGATCTAATTACCGGGTATGTTGTTTATGTTCTTCAAGTCTCCGTAATCTATAATATCCTAGACGCCCTTTTGGCTTTTGCTGATTTGCTCTCGCTTTTGCTGTTTCTATGCCAGACTATGGCACTCAGAGAAGTTCCATCTCGTTGTCAGGCTGCATTTATACGAAAAGATCATGAAGAAGCTGTTCGGTTACTAGGTTTCAAGGATCCTGAAGTACTTTACCGGGATGAGCCTGGCCTGCTTTATTATTCTATAAGTAATGGCTGGTTAGATGTTACAAGAGATCTCGTCACTAATTACCGTTTTGTTCCACGAACATACTACTACTATGATAGTCAATCCTGTCTTTATATTGCTGCTAAAGGTAATCACATTGATATAGTTGAATATCTTATTAAAGAGTGTGGCTGTGATCCAATGGAGGATACTAGACTATACTATGCCATCCGTGTCCCTTTTCTTCATTATATAGCTAGAGAAGGATTTCTTGATGTCTTGAAGTGTATGGTCATGAACATCAATGGTCATATAATGGATAAACAATATTGTGATACTAATGGTTGGACTGTTCTTCATCTTGCTGTTAAACACATAGATGTTGTAAAGTACCTCATTAATGAGTGTAACTGTGATATAATGACTCCTGATAAATATGGAAATACTATTCTACATGTTGCAGCTAGTGAAGGATCACTAGGTGTCATGAAGTACCTCATCAATACTCATCACTATAATCCAATGACTACTAACAATAGTGATCAGACTGTTCTTCATATTGCTGTTGAACACATAGATGTTGTAAAGTTCCTCATTAACCCGTGTAACTGTGATATAATGGCCGCTGATAAGAATGGATCGACACCTCTTCATTTTGCTACCAGTTATAGGGGTACACCTGAAGTTATTGAATTCTTATTGTCGACTGGTAATTATGATCCTTTGGCTAAAGACAATGAGGGGAGGACACCATTACAACTAGCTAAAGAGAGATGGTATGATAGTGATACTGTCATTGATATCTTCAAGAAGTTTGGTAACATTAGAATATCTCATCCAATTGATTCTTATGTTAACGTTCTCCTTGTGGGTAATCCTGGAGCTGGTAAAAGTACTCTTAGTCATGTCATCAATGACACAGCTACTGGTTCTGTTGTTCTTGGTTCCTTTAGAAATGTTGGAGGGGTAGTGCCCTGTACTGCTGCCATCATTCCTTATAAACTAAAACACAGGACACTGGGTAACATCATTCTTCATGATTTTGCTGGTCATTCAGAATACTACTCCAGTCACAGTGCTGTCATTGAGAATCTGTTACAAGGTTCTGGTGGTGTGTTCCTGATAATAGTCAATATATTGGAGAAGGAAGCAATCAAACAGCTTCATCAGTGGCTAACAGTCGTGAGAAATGAAGCACAGAAAGCTCTTAATGAATGCCATGTTATTGTAATAGTCAGTCATAAGGATGAGATAAATAATCCTGTTGAAAGGAGAAGAAGAAAGGAAGAAATACAAGAGGTTATTATAAGGGAAAGGTGTGATAGTGTGTTCTTAGATTGTCGTAAGCTTGGTGGGAGTGGTGTGGATTCCTTTTTTAATATCTTATCTAGTTCCTGTGAGTCCATTCGTAGTACAAGTGGAAGGAATTTGAGTCTTTATTGTCACATGATGTATGGTCTACTGGAGGAAAGGAAAGTGAATATACTGACCCTCTCTGATGTAATGTCTGCTGGTAAGGACAATTATGTTATACCAGATAAGAGAGAAGATGTCTTGGATGTTCTTCATTGGTTGCAGTCAACTGGTTTGATCAGTGTTTTTAAAAGTGAAGACAAGGTATGGGTTGTTGTGAATAAGGGTATACTACTAACTGAGGTGAATGGGATTCTCTTTGCTCCAAAGACATTCAAAGAACACGTTGATATTGCTAGCAATACTGGTATTGTTAGTGTGTCTGGTCTGACTAAACTCTTCCCTAAATATGATCCTGACATGTTGATCTGTTTCCTGAAGAACATGGAACTCTGTCAAGAAATGAATCCATCTTTCCTAAGAATGACATACCTCCATCAGTTAGCAGTGGAAGAGGAGGAGGAGGGAGGGAA